TCATCTCTCTCACTTCTTCTTCATCTGAGTTTCGATACTCTTCTGTCAGAATTATTATTATTATTATTATTATTTGATTTATAGTTTATATCTTCAAAATTTTAATGTTAGTCTAACCTAAATAATTTTATGGCATGTTAACGCTTATGGGTGGTGTTTTCAAAAGCTTATATTAACAAAACTTTTTTGAAATATGATGTATGATAAAAAATGGTTATCTTTATAGATATGCATAGTGTAAAATTATTTTTTAAAATAATGGTTCTTTTAAAAAAAAAAATAACTCACTAAAACTCTTAGACTACATGTTTTATGAATAATGGTATTTTTTAGATGAATTTTTTTTTCTTACAAAAATAAAAATTTAGACACGGTTTCGATATTAAAAATAAGCTCTAAGGTACAATGGGAAATTAAATATTCCAGCCTGTAAAGGTGGGACCATGTGAAGAAGTGGACGAGACGTTATATACAGTATATGTACACACATATATATTTATATATATATATATTTATTTTCTCTTCTTTTTTCGGGTATTGAAATAATTTGCCTGAAACAATAATTGGATAACAAAATACTTGGTTATTCAAAAAAAAAATCATCACAATCCATTTATATCTCGCACATATAAGGAAGCGGTGGAGCGTGAGAGGCACGTGCATGGGGCAGGGGATAATAATGGGAAGAGGCTTGTTTGGTTGGGTATAAAGCTCCACCCCTTCCCTATATGGGATCCACTTGTTCTCTCTTCCAAACACGCCTTCTTTATTTGATTTATAGTTAAATGCCGAGAAAAATATATATACTAATTCATTGGGGAGAAAACTCGAGGGTCTTTTCGTAATTTAGCCCTTGTGTACTTATGCAACCCTTGTACTCTCAATCTCAAGTCTCCGCCGCTCAGATAGTTAGATTCTGTGATTTCATATTTAATTTTTTTGAAAATCCCGCACTCATCTCTCTCTCTCTCTCTAAATGATTTTATTCATTTATAATTCATATATATATATATATATGCCTGAAGTTTGTTAAATTCCCATCTCATAATATATACACACGCACATTTCTTATTTTAAAAAAACAAAACCATAAACGTACATTGGGTTCTCTTAAAAGACATATATTGGGCCGTGGCAGCATTTTATTGGGCCTATAAGTTTTAGATTTGATTCTTGTTTTATGTTGTTTTCTTCTCTTTGGATTTTGAAAAATCGAATTGAAGATATAAATTTGAACAGGAGATCAAGATTGTATGTGTAAGAACATGAAATCTAGTTATTATATAGTAAACATTTCTTCTGTATGTATTTATTATGTTTGCAAAAAAATATAAAATTTTTAAAATATATTTATAAACTAATAAATTAAAATTAATAGAATACGGGTACATGACTCTTGGATTTTATATATAAAGATGTATGTGTTTATGTATATAATATAGATATAAATGACTAAAATATAACTATAATATATATTTACAAATATTTAGCTTCACCGAGTCATTAAACCTACTATCCTATATATGTCCACGTAATTGTTTTGGGGTAATATCATACAATTTGTGATGTGAAACTTGTAACGTTCAATCTTTTTAAGATATATGGAGACCAATTTTAAAATGATTTATTGATAAAAAAAATAGGGTTTCTAACTCAGATATATATATATATATATATATATATATATATATATGCACACACACAATCATAGAAGATTGTACCTGATCGAATAAGATAAATAATAATCTAACATACATGTGGACATTGTATGATATTACCCCAAAACAATTACGTGGACATATATAGGATAGTAGGTTTAATGACTCGGTGAAGCTAAATATTTGTAAATATATATTATAGTTATATTTTAGTCATTTATATCTATATTATATACATAAACACATACATCTTTATATATAAAACCCCAAGAGTCATGTACCCGTATTCCATTAATTTTAATTTATTAGTTTATAAATATATTTTAAAAATTTTATATTTTTTTGCAAACATAATAAATACATACA